ATGAGCTGCAGAAGTCTTTTGTCCTTGTGTTGGACAAAATAAAGAAATGTAAGTTCATGTTCTCACATTACTTTTTGTCTTTCTCTTCGACTGCTAGCCTGTTAACTTTTTATTTGCTTCCAGTTGTTCGAAAGCCTGTAGCCAAGAAGGCTACAGAAGGCCAACAGGGAGGAGGCCCTTCAACAAAACCTCCACCGCCGGCGAAGACTACAGCGCCGGCGAAAACCATAAGCAACCAACAGGGGGAAGGCTCTTCGAAGAAGCCTTCTATATCGGTAACCAGACTTTCATCATTTTCCTTCTGGCTTTCGATTTTTGATTTTCGATGCAATTATTCAATCGAATTCCTATTTGTTTTCTAGGCACCTTCGCCCAAGAAACGGCCAGGACTGGTGGTCGAATCTGGGAGTGATGAAGAAAGTGATTCCCCTCCTGCCCCCTTAAAAAGGCGAAAGTTGACGAAGGATGCTTCTGTTCCTGCTCCTGCTCCTGAAGGTCGAACTGTCAGAATAAAGGTTGCTGTGAGAAAGCCTAGGCCACCTCCAGTGATCATCGAGGAGCCAACTGAGGAGGAACTAAACATTCTTCTTAACAAGCCTGTCGAAAGCGACAATTCCAGCCCTGGGGCTGAAACTAATCCACAGGTAGTCTTTTAGACTCTTTTATAACTTAGGTATAGATACCCATATTCGATTTTGTCTCTTTCGATCTCTGAAGATTCGTCTTCTTTCTCTTTTCAGGACACTACTGAAAGTTCTCCGCCAAGGACCTCAGAAACGCTGGAATCTGCTGAACTTAGCAGGCCTCAGGAAAAAGGCTTGGGCAATGACGAAGCCCATACTGAGAATGAGGCCAATGCTGAAACAGTAGAAAAACCAGCGGAGGAGCCTCAAACGGAGGAACCACAGCCAGAAGCGGTTCAGGTGGTGGATCTGTCAGAAGAGAATCATGAAGAAAGGGACCAAGGTAATGTTGGCGAAGAAAATCAAGATGCTGCTGACGAAGAGAACCAAGGTGGCACTGGCGAAGGACACCAGGGTGACGCTAGCGAAGAACAACAAGATGACGCTGGCGAAGGGCCCCAGGGTGATGCTAGCGAAGAACCACAAGTCGACGCTGGTACTGCCCCAGTCCGAGTCGAAGAGCAACCAGTCGAGGCACCTAACACTCAAGAACCTCAAACCCAAGACAATGCTGTTGCAAGGGTTACCTTAACGAGGCACAGGTCTAAAGAGGACTTGGAACTCTTGAAACAAACTGACCCTGTTAGCTACCTCAACGCAATCATCGAGAGCAAGAGTTCGTCTGACGCTAGTCAGGAAGTTCCTACCCTGTCGGGGAAGTCTTCTGAAACTTCTCCCCTTGATGATGCTTTGGCGAAGGTTAAGGCCCAGTTCTTCAAGAGGGACTTGATGAAGACTTTAGAGGGGGACCCCACTGCTCCATCATGCTTGAAGGAGGTCTTGAATGCTGTCGACTTTGAAGTTGTAGCCCCAGAAGTTTCAAGCTTGATCATGGAGTTACACTCTATGATTGATCAAGTCTCAGCAGATTACAGGCGCCAAAGGGGTTTTAACAGTCAGCTTGAGGTGTTGTATGGAAAAAGCTCCTCTGCGTGGACTGCTGTCTCAGATTCGACTTCTCGAATTGCAGAGTTGTCGAAACAAAAAGCATATGCGCAGGAAGAAGTCGATGCCATTGATCGAGAGAATGCTTCCTTCCGGGCACAAATCGCAGAAATAGAGGCGAAGATAAACGCCAACACTGCACGCAAGGAGGAACTTCTTTCGACCATCTCAGACACCGAGAGCCAAACTGAGATCAAACAAGGCCTGGAATTCGCTGAGAGGGCCCAAAGCCTCGACGCTCAGATTGCCAAACTAGTGCAGGAAAACTCCTGGTGCAAGAAGAGGTTGGAGCTGCAGCAAGCCAAGTATCTTCGATTCAAGGACTCTCTTACCTTTTGATTGATTCTCTTTTGTAACCATATTTTGTAATCCATATTCGACAACAATTGCCATCTTGGCTGAAATTTATAAAATTTCCATTTTGGCATTTTTATGGTTAATTTAGTCTTGTTCTTTTATTATTTTATTTTTATCTCTTGAAGTATAGGTTTGTATTTTTTCAAATATTTACCATTTACTCTCAAGAGCCTTTTATCTCCACCTAACTCTTCGACTTCATAGGCTCCACCAGAAAAAGTTTGGATAACTCTGAAGGGTCCTTCCCATTTGGGTGACCATTTCCCCATGCTTCGATCCCTTCGATCCATGGGAAGAATTACCTTCCAAACTAGTTCTTCAGGCAAAAATACCTTAGGTTTTACCTTTCTATTATAAGAGTCCTCTACTCTTTTCTTCTGAAGCCTGAGTAGGTCGAGAGCGTGTAATCTCTCTTCGTCTAAATCCACCAATTAATCTAACATCATGTTCCAATAAACTTCAGAAGGAATATCATAATGCCTCTGAACCCTTGCAGATTGAAGACAAATTTCTGCTGGTAACACTGCATCATGGCCAAAAGTTAGCCTATACGGTGTTGTACCAGTGGCTTCTTTTGGGGACGTTCGACAAGCCCATAGAATCTGGTCTAACGTCTTATGCCAATTCTTTGGTTTCTTCCCAACATGTTTCTTTATCAAGCCAATCACCACTTTGTTAGCTGCTTCGACTTGACCATTCGCCTGTGCATAATAAGGCGTTGATGTTAGGAGTTTGAAACCTGTTTCCTGAGCAAATTCCTGCATCTTTCGACCAGTGAAAACTGACCCTTGATCAGTTGTTATTGTCTCAGGAATTCCATATCTAAAGATAATGTTCTTTTGAATAAATTCAATGACATTTTCTTGGTCCACATTGACTAAAGGGACAGCTTCGATCCACTTAGTAAAATAATCAATGCCTACCAATATGTATTTCTGACTCTTTGATGATGCTGGTCGAATCTCTCCAATGAGATCCAACGCCCATCCTCTAAAAGGCCAAGGCTTCACTATCGAGTGAAGTTCGCTTGCTGGTACATGTTGGATGCCTGTATGAACTTGACACTCTTGACAACCTTTGGCGAACTCAACACAATCTTTCAGCATAGTGGGCCAATATAGTCCTTGTCGAAACAACCACTACAAGAAAAATGATAGATTGGGACGGTTATTTTGGCTGATTACGACGGTTAAAACCGTCGCAATTTACAATCTACGACGGTAGAAGTACCGTCGCAGAATCGTGCGTCCCCAGCCTATTTCGCGACGGTTGCAAAACTGTCACGCACAACAGATAGCGACGGTTATATACCGTCGTGAATTTGACTTTATTTTTTGTTTTTGTTGTTATTTGCGACGGTTACTCTACCGCCGTAGGTTAGAAATTGCGGCGGTTTTAACCGTCGTAATCTGATTTATAAATTTCAAATAATATTTTTATTTAAATTATTATTTAGTAAAATAATTTTAAATATAATATTATTTTACTATAATATTTTACTATTATATTTAAATTATTATTTACTTTAATATTTTTTTATTTATAGTATTTTTATTTTATTTTCTATCACTTTTCAACATAATAAAGTTAATTACAATAAAAACATTTAATATCAAATAATCATCAATAATATCAAAAAAAATGTGATCAAAGGTAAAAAGAAGTGCAAATTTTACCAATAAACAAGAAAAATTCAAATATCATCAAAGGCCAAATTTCATTTTAATATTTACATTGGTTTGCTACAACTTGAGAGAATTACAAAAAATGTTACAATATTCTACAAAATTCATGAAAGTCCTTAGTGTTAAGTGATTTTGTGTTAAACTTCCATGCTAGGACCATGATCCTTCCTTGACTACCATTTGGTCCAAGCTACGCATACCTAGCAGCCTGCAAGATTCACACAAAACATAAGCAATATCTTAGGGCAAGTTTAAACAAACTTCTAACTTCTAGGAAGGATCATGGTCCTACAGAAATTGGAAAATAAATATATCAACTTTACTTGAATGGAGAAAAGAGCCAAAAGAAAATAAAAATTATAAAGATACTTACAATAATAGGAATGAATGCAATCCAGAAATATGCATGCCAACCTGAAACAATAAAAATAAATCTTAGTTTCGATTGGACAATGACATAATTGTTAATTCAACGAGACTGTGGTATAACCAAGATTAAACTACACATCAAACTGGTAGTTCTTGATTCAACTGGTTGAACTGAACGGGTTTCAATGCAGTTTTTAAAGCATTGTTACAGGTAATAATAACCATTATACTTAAGGTAGAAAATATGGTTAGCATGCAGCAGAACTACTGAGAAACAGAACAAAAGTGCCAAGTCTTGTAGCGTACCATGGATATTAAGCAACAAAAATATGACCACAAAGATCCAAAGATACCAACTGCAAACATCAACATAAAATTATAAATTAGTGACAAGAAAGAATCAATAACTTTACACTATAAATCTACAAAGAAAACCAGGTCGATTAACTACCGATTTCTTTTTCTGGTCATTTGGTCCAATTTTATCTAGCAACTTTTTAATAGACCGTCCCTCGATTAATAAGGCCTTTTGTGATGTTATATTCAGCCTCGGTGCTGCAAACTCAAGAGCTTTAAGTTCAAAATCTTCCGCTGAAACCAAGTTCGAAGTACCTTGCTGAAGCAATTCTGTTAAAACTTTCCCAGCCTCTTCTTCAGCAGAGTCCAGAACAAATGTAGCACGCTCAAGATCATCAACTATTCTAGAAACCTGCAAGTCACATTTCAGGAAAGATAAAACTCAGTTTGGATTAACTTGTTTATAGAATTTTTTCCACTACAATAAGTCATTAGTTTTTATGAATAATCACTGACTTATAAAAAGTCAGATTAGACAACGTTTGAAGAAAAAATTGACTAACCTCAACAGCCAACACAACTGGAACCATACTCTGAATGGGAATTAAGCTTTGTTCTAATGACTTTTTTGCTTTTTGGCATCTTAAAAGTACTGTATCTCCTGTCACTGCCTGAAAGTAGTGGTCATATTTAGCTTACTTGTTAAGAAAGTTATACAAAATTATTATTGAGATATGCTTTAGAGAAGAAGAAAACACACCAGGTAGAGTTTGCTACATTCAGAGAAATGTTGTAGAAGTAGTTAGCTTTCTGAATTGAGTTGTTCAGATAAACCAGAGATTCTATTCCTGATGAACATTTTGGTCTTGCATCCTCTATATCTGGAAATATCCTCATGATATCATCCAATATTCTCATCAATTCCATGCATATTTTACTATGTACCTGTTAATAGAATCCTTAGTTCTAAGTTCTAACACCTTTGATAAACATAATAGTGAAATCAAATGCTATTCATTTATATGTATATACCTGAAAGGATCTTGGTAGAGTCTCCACTATTTCACCACTAGTAGTTCTCATTAAAAGGAGTAGTATCCTACAACTACATAACAGATTTGTGAATCTCTGAGTATAATGAAAGAGAAAAGTCTACTAGAGAAAGACAAGGTTATTTTGGAATATTCTAGATAGTAAAATAAAACAAAAAAGTAATTTTCATCTAAGAACCAATCAACTCTCAATATAGTACATCTTTGAACATAAATAATTTGAAGCTAGAAATAGAAATTTTAAAAGTAAGGAGAATGAATAATTACCTAGAATTATGGTAGTGATTATAAGCAACTTGTTCCTGTGGTTAAATGTTGAAGAAGCAATTAGAGCTAGATTAGTATTAAAGAACCAAGAAACCAATAAGTGTTGATGGATTCAGTTGTTAAAACAACATTAGTTGTTGATTCACTAGAAATCAGTTTGTTTTTATGCAGACATTGTGTAGATAAGCAAAGGGAAGAAAAAGAAGAGGTTGAATGAAAATTTTACCTTCAATCTCGATATTACACAAGCTTGATCTCCGCTATGGGTATGAATACAAATTATTGATTCACATTTAGCCAACAACATATTTGGGCACAATTAGATACTTTTCTAATGTCGGATCAAGGAGAAGGGGATTTACAGTTAGATAAGCTGAAAATACTGATTTCAAAAGAGTCAAAAACAGAGAACACCCAGTATTACTTTGTTAGCTGGCCAAATGCAAAAAGAGTTAAGGTTACAAATTTCCCTCAGCTTGCATCATTGCAGAAAGAGATGATCAGGTATCAAAGAAAAGATGGGGTTCAGCTTACTGCTATGTAGGGCAATTAGTTGCAAGTGCAGAGGCTGCTGTGGAAGAAGTTATCCGGCGTGGGGTAAGCTTTTGTTTTTACTTGTGTAGTAGATTAAGTTATCAATCCAATATAAATATCGTTTGAATCAAGCATTTTTCGGTTATCCCCTCTAGGTAGCTCATCCAAAGAAAATAGTTGTTGGTGGACATTCCTATGGTGCATTCATGACTGCCAACCTCCTAGCACACGCCCCTCATCTCTTTTGTTGTGGAATTGCTCGTTCTGGTGCTTACAATAGAACGCTTACACCTTTTGGTTTTCAGGTACTACCTATATAATGCCTCGATTTTTATTATTCCAATTGCATAGTATTTTCCATGAGTTGTCTTTAGAAATGAATATCTTACATCTTATACAATACTTTCTTCTGTAGAATGAAGATAGAACTCTTTGGGAGGCCACTAATACCTATGTCGAGATGAGTCCCTTCATGTCCGCTAATAAAATTAAGAAGCCTATCTTGCTTATCCATGGGGAAGAGGATAATAATCCAGGAACATTAACCATGCAGGTAAGATAGAAATTTCCATCCAGGAAAACTAACTGACTATTGAAGTATTTGACAGAAATAAACCATCTTCTAGCCTTACTTTAGCCAATAAACCAAACTCAATAAATAAATAAATAAAAATTTGAAAAGTGAGGAAAAAATGATTACCGTGATAATCAACCAGCAGGATTAAGAGCCATCATCATGTTGTTTCCACCAGGAAGATAAGTAACATTAGGCGATTTCGCAAGCGTTCCAGCAACTTCCCTGGAAGCTTCAATCCTCCTAAGCTCAACCAACCCCATCCCAGCCGCAGCAGTAGCCTCGGAAATCAATATAGCAGCGTCACTCTCTCCTTCAACTCGAATACCAAAAATAAGTGAATGCAACAGACATAATACCAATCATTATATCAGTTAACAACCCTACAACACATAAAATCGGTTCAGGAATACCATAAAAAATAGTCCACTCATTCAGAAAATTAAAAAAGGCCAATGCATAGCAAAACTGATTCAGTCAATCACATAGATTCAAGTCAATTTAAATATCCACTTCACAAACCTAATCCCTCACATAACAATTTCTAACAACTTTAAGCTAACAGTTATCCATTTCAATTGATATTCCTAACAGTCAGGCCCTAATAATATTGACGATTTTAACTCTTTTTCACACTAACAATTAGCTAACTCAAATTACAATCAGCAACTAACTCTCAGTTTCATTCAAATCTAAAGCCATCCCATCCTAATAGCCAACTATACACAACCTCTCTACAATATTCTACACAGCTTCGTCAACCTTCATCATCAATGGCATCATCGCGACTTCAAGCTTGAAGCATTCCCTCTATTTTCAACACCAATCACAACAACAAACTTCAATAATTGAATTGTACCGAATCAATAGAAAATACGTGTGAATCGGAAATAATAGAAGAATGAGGAATTAAGAATGCATACCTGAATCACGATTGAAGCGTTGGCGGAGTGACTCCGACGTGTAAGTATTCTTTCTTCTCTCATCATTTTTTTTGCATATGTGACATTTTCGTTTTGCTTTGAATCACAGTTGAGGCATGAAACAGAAATTGAGCGGAATTTTTCAGAGCTTCGAATCAAAAACGATGAAACTATGGTTGAGACGATGGAACTGAATTGGAATCGAAGCCACGATGAGTTAAGAAGAGTGAGACGGAGGTAAACAGTACTGAATCTAAATAGAAGAAGGTTGAATCGATTTAAGGTGAAGACAGGCGAATATTGAGAATTTGATATAGAGGAGATAAGGTCGTTGTGTTCTCCGCCGATTTGGTTTTAGAGAAGAAGAGCGGCAGCACGTTGGGAGAGAAGTAGAAAGAATAGTGCACGGCCTCCATTGATGAGAGAAGAGGAAGAAATACTCTGATAAGTTCATTCGACACAAACTTGAACCCTAATGTCCACCCCAATATAGCACCGTTCTGATATTTTTACATATTTCTTTATTTATTTTTTCTGTTATTCTCTTATCATAAGTATAAATGAGGAGATAATGTTGATTGGGAATCGAAAGGTTGGAGATGGATCTTGCTTCTAGTGGACCGAGATGTTCTACCTTTTCCTAAGGCCCTTCACTTTTTTTGGTATTTTTTTGGTATTTTTAACTTTTTTACTGCGACGGGTGTTTTACCGTCGTGTCCATGAGAATTTTTAAAGGTTTTGGGTGCGACGGTTGTTTTACTGTCGTGAAATGAATTTTAGGACGGATAATTTTACCGTCGTGAAAGGTTTAAGGGTGCGACGGGTGCTTTACCGTCGTGATATGCCTTTTAGGACGGTTAATTTTACCGTCGTGACTAGTTGTTGGTGAAAAATCAATGTTAAAAGTGTTAAATGGGGGCCGACGGTTGTTTTACCGTCGTAATAATAATATTATGATGGTTAAATATACCGTCGCAAAATAAATATTAGGGACGGTTGGTGTCAACCGTCGTAAACACTGTCTCTATATGTCAATTACGACAGTTATCACATAACTGTCGCAATTTTTGTGTCGTTAAACACTAATTTTCTTGTAGTGAACAACCATTTCATCTTATGGCCTGCTTGGTGAGCCCCACATGCCCCAGCATGCGTAGTCGAAAGGGCTATGTATGCTTCAGTTTCACTTAAACATTTCAGCAACACCCCTTCAGGCGTCTTCTTGAATAACTCATTACCCATGAGTACAAAACTCAACGCCCTGTATAAACAACCGCTGATGGGTTTTGGTAAACAACCGCTGATCCTCCAAATGGTTACTTATTTGGTTACTCGCAGGATCGATCAGATTGATCCTATGGACATAGGTTGATTTTGAAGTTTGATTAATGTGGATAAGGCTTTAAATTAAAGGTTTCAAGTAAATTGCATAAAGGAAAGGCTTGGTAAAATAAACAAGGCTTTAAAGTAAAGGTTCGACAGGAATTTAAAGGAGAAAAGCAAGTAAAATGCTGGAAAAGTAAAGGACTTTAATTGATAAAATGGGTGTTTCACACATACATTTCTCAACAATTCTTTCGCTCACACTGGGTACTTGAATCTAAATGAGTGACTATGTATATGATTGTGAACACACCCGAGAAACTACATGTCTACTCCTATTTATACTAAAACGTTCCAAGTAACCGTCGGGCAGTTACACTGCTTCGAGATCAAGCCACTTGGCACGTTCTCCATGTTCGACGCTCCAGATCCTTGCACGTTTGCACGTAGTAACTGCTGGAAACCGTTTTCCCTCCAAAGCTTTGAATTTCAAACTGCTCCACTCTGGACCATCGAACACCTTCATCAAGAGACGTCTTCGACGAAAACTCCTTCGACGTCGAAGGCAACCAGCCTTCTTCCTTGGAAGACTTCTAAGTATTTTGCCATCTTTCGACGGTCACTTCGACAGGCTTAGCCAGTCGAAAGCATCTTTCAGCTTTTAATGGTTGACATCAATCAAAACAAAGGTGTCGAATTCAGGAGCCAACAAATTTCCCCCCAAGAATGCCTTATTTCGACTCTGAAAGAAAAAGGCATTCTTTGAAAAACGCCATTCGACACCTGTTTTTTCACGCTTAGTCACAAGTTAACTTGTGCACTTTTTGTTGCTTTTTACCAACTATTGGCGATCCCAAGAAACCATCATTGATTTGATCCTAGGACGTCACTTTCAGTACGGCGTGCAGTACCAAAACGTCACTTCAGAATTTGTCATTATGACAATTCTCAAAAAACGAGGACGCACGCTGCGTCTCTCTACTTCTGCAGAAACGGCCAAAGCAACAAGGGGTTGCCACGCGTCCCACTAATTCCTGCAGCATTAAATAACATTTAATGTCCTCGTTATTGGGGATTTCTCCCACTACTATAAATAGTAGTGAACATCCCATTGTGGGATTTTTTACGCAAACTAGCCTTCAAACTTCCTTGTTTTCGTACAAGCTTGCTCTCTTTGCAGAAAAACTCTTCCTTTTTCACTTCATCTTCATCCTCAACAATGGCCTCTGCTTCTACCGCTTCCAAGACTAACGCACCAACTGAACAACATGTTAAACCCAAGGTCTTCGTTACTGCTCCGGTAGTAAACTCTACAGGGAAACGAAGGGTTCCTGAACCTTCTGACATCTCCGTTCGCGATGCTTACTCGCGCCACTTGATGATCCCGGTTGGATACTCCAACCAGATCTT